CCGGCTAATTTTTTGTATTTTTAGTGGAAACGGGGTTTCACCATGTTGGCCAGGCTGGTCTCTAACTCCTGACCTCAGGTGATCCGCCCGCCTCTGCCTCCCAAAGTGCTGGGATTACAGGCATGAGCCGCCACACCAGGCCAAAATTAGACTTTAGGAAAGTTTGTATTGGCCTCTGTGAGTTTGACAGCTTCCAAATACTTAAAAGACTTTTCTGACTAGATGAGTGGTGTTATTAACAAGTATGATTTTTTGGCTATTTTATAGGAAAATGTGTCAAAGTCTGGAAGATCTGCATAACTAATTGGAGCAATATTTTCCAAATAACTAATGAACCATGTTACAAAACAGGTACCATAGATAAGAGAACCATTCAAAGAACAAGACAGACTAGTGAGTTTTAATTTACTAGATTAAATTCAGAGGCCGATGTGAGATCCACCTATCTTCTTTTAATCCCAGTATTAAAGAAATGTGCAAAAAATGAAAAACATTGCCACTTTTCACACTAAATATTTTTGTTTTGTTTGGAAAACATAACTGATTTATGTTAACATATAGTTCATTCTCTTTAAATGAATTAAATGAATATTTCCTTTTCCCTAGATTTAATTTATAATACAGTTAATATTGAAGGATATAATCTACATATGCAAGAGCTCTTGGGGTTCTCAATAATTTTTAAGAGCATAAAGGCATCCTGAGAATAAAAAGTTTGAGACTGATAGCTATATACAGCATTCCATTCTAACACAATGTATTTTTCCATACACCTAATGATGGACATTCTGATTGCTTCCGATAGTTGACTATTATGATTAGTGCTGCTATGAACATTCTTGTGCATTTCTTTTAGTGGAAATAATTACTCTTTTCTGTTGGGTATGCACATCGGAGTGAAATTGCTGCATCATAGGATATAAATTTCTTCAGCTGTAGTTGACATTATGCAACAATTTTCTAATTTAGGCCAGGTGTGGTGATTCATGCTTGTATTCTCAGCACTTTGGGAAGCTGAGACAGGCAAATCTCTTGAGGTCAGGAGTTTGATACCAGCCTGGCCAACATGGTAAAACCCCGTCTCTACTAAAAATACAAAAATTAGCTCGATGTGGTGGTGGGTGCCTGTAATCCCAGCTACTTGGGAGGCTGAGGCAGGAGAATCGCTTGAACCCAGGAGGTGGAGGTTGCAGTGAGCTGAGATGTGCCAGTGCACTCCAGCCTAGGTGACACAGCAAGAATCTGTCTCAAAAAAGCAAAAATAAATAAATAAATAAATAAATAAATAAAATTCTAATTTTAAATTCCATCAGGCTGTCAGAGAGTTCTGATTCTTTTTTTTTTTTTTTTTTTTTGAGACAGGGTCTCACTCTGTCGCCCAGGCTGGAGTGCAGTGGCCGGATCTCAGCTCACTGCAAGCTCCGCCTCCCAGGTTTACGCCATTCTCCTGCCTCAGCCTCCCAAGCAGCTGGGACTACAGGCGCCCGCCACCGCGCCCGGCTAGTTTTTTGTATTTTTTTAGTAGAGACGGGGTTTCACCGTGTTAGCCAGGATGGTCTCGATCTCCTGACCGCGTGATCCACCCGTCTCGGCCTCCCAAAGTGCTGGGATTACAGGCTTGAGCCACCGCGCCCGGCCGAGTTCTGATTCTTTACATCCTTATCAACACTTGCTATTGTCAATCTTTTTATGTTTAGTCATCCTGGCATGTGTGTTTACATCATAGTATAATTTGCAATTTCCATAAGGACAAATGAGGCTGAGTATTTTTTTATGTTTATTGGCCAACTGGATATCTTTAATAAACTGCCATCCAGGCCTTTTGTCCATTTTTACTTATTTTTAATGTAAAATTCATGTAACATAAAATTCACCATTTTAAGCATTTTAATGTACACAATTCAATAAGTTTTAGTATATTCTCAATGATGTGCAACCATCACCATCATCTAATTACACAACGTTTGCATCACTCCAAAAAGAAACCTAAA